TACATCGAAGAAAAACAAGCGGGCACGCGAGCAAAGAAAACACCCACTACCTAAGAGCCTCAAGGCTTCCTCGTCAGGTCCGCACTCGAGGAGGACCTTGGTGTTGATTAATCGAGATTCACAGTGAACCTCCCCGCACTCGTCAAGAATAAAACTCTCGTCTTTGTTGACACATTTAGCAGGAGTGAAACCAGAGACGAACTCAACTATCTTCTCATAAGGTAGTCGATCCTCAACGTTCAGAGAGTCGGGTTTGACGATGTAAGTGGCCCTCCTCCCATTCAAGAGGGAACTTCGTCTCTAAAGACTCCACTTGCTCCCCGTCCTCCTCCTTGACCACAAGATCATACAGAAGTCGACTGTCGCATGCGACACGGGCTTTACGATGAAGTACCTGTCCTTGAAGGTACGGACAGAATCTTGGTTCGCTCGGAACAACTTCCTCGGCTGCTTTAGGGATACCCAACTATGCAGACCTTGGAAGAATTGTCGTTGTAGGTGAAAAGTGTGAAAGAACAAGGGGAGCGTGGCTTCAATGCAGAGGTGTTGACACACGAGCTCGAACGCTCGCACAAAAGCAATTGCGTTGGGATGAAGTTGTAAAGGTGCTAGACGTAGCCACTGGAACACCCCCTTCTAAAAATCACTAAAGGGAAGACGCATCCCTGCGTCCCAAAACGCGAACTTGTACATTGGGAACCGCATTCCTTTACGACGAGCAGATACGATGTGTCTCTTTAGGCTTGTAAACCATTCAATTCGGGGAGGCGTCCTCGACAAGGTTCTCGAGGGTTGCAAAGGCGTCTGAGCCGTCGATGGCGAAGCGTGACTCGGTGTTGAGGGGTTCCTACCCAGCTCAATCTAAAGGCGCATAGGCTCGCTCGACCTTGACTTACTCAACGGGGGTGTCGAACTCGACTTCCTCATCAATTATAATGACGCCTTCAATCCTTGCAGCCATTTTACCTAAAAAGCAGAGGAAAACGGTGAATTCGACATCTAAGATCAAATCCACCCTTCCACCAAAAATCAAGTGAAAGGGCGAAGAGAGGGGGGAGGAGTCGCTCGACAAACTTCCCCAACCATAACACCCTCCGAGGAAAACCCCTCCATGAGGAGACTCTCCTCACGCAAAACTGTGGGCCTCCCTCCTTGGTAGAATGGCTCCGCAGCGCGTAAAATATCTCCAATTGAACACGAGAAACCTGCTTGACAGGAGACTTCCTCGCCATGTTCACGCATTCGCGGGGAGAAGAGCTCATTGAGGCCTTCATTGCAAGACCCTGAGGCCTTCACCAGAAACCCCATGAAGTTCCCGAGAATCCTCATGAACTCCCTGGCATCTTCATCGAAAATTCATGAGTCCGCAGGAAACTTCATGGCTCCTTCGGAAACTTCGGGGTTCCGCGGAAATTTCATGAGTTCGCCGGGAACTTCATCAGTTCACCAGAAACCTTATAGACTCAGCGGAAAAATCATCGGAAAATTCATAGAATTTGGAAAAAGGGGCAGCAACTTACTTGAAGGAAGCAGATTTTGGACGGCGGAGGAAGGATGATGGCGGTTGCGGCGGCGAACGTACTTTGGAGAGCAGAGAGAACTTTGAGAGAGTTTGGAAAAGATCAGTTAGTAGAATGGAAGGAAGCGTGCAAATGAAGCGGACTTCCCCCTATTTATGAACCCTAACATGGGAAGCGAGGCATCACTAGGCACTCAAGTACCCCTTACTCGTATCCGCCCTAGGCATTTATTACTCTTGACACGTGGCCCTAGATGACACCGGCGTGTTCCATCAAATCCTTCTCCTGCTTGGGACCAGAAGTGTTTGTTCCCTTCCCTTTTGGTCACATAGTCGTCCACAATGTCGACCCCTACGCCGTCGAGAATGTTTCCTCGGGGAGAGGCAGGAAAATAGAAAGGATTACATTTGAAGGACATGTCTCCCCGCGAGCACTTGTCCTGTCGAGCGGCTCATAATCCTAGCCACGCGCATTGTCTCGCGAGCTCAGTGCTTCGGGCAGGTCCTCGATGCTAGAACTAACTCTTAAGCCATTACTCTTCTGCGTCGGAGCAACGACTTAGCGGCTCCTATTCTGGACTGGGTCAAAGGTTGTCCTACTGTCGGGCACAACCCAATCCATCTCTCTGTTGGGGAAGGCCCAATGAAGGCCCAGTTCATCACATCACACGTGGAGCGCTTACACTTCTCCCATACGGACTCCACATGCCCCCCACGTGGGAACACGTTATCAGACAACTACCCACATTTGAAAGAGCAGGTCACCCACCTCTCGAAGATCATGGGGCAGTTGACCCAGGGAGAAGACCACATGTTGGTCTTCCCTACGCCATGTAGACCTTGACAGTTACTCATATTGGATCTAGTGATCCAATCCAATGTGTATATATATATATATATATATATATATATATATATATATATATATATATATATATATATATATATATATATATATATATATATATATATATATATAGTTAATTACAGTTTTGATCTCTCTATTTTACTTGAATGATAATATATAATTGTTAGAGTTGTTTGAGAGTTTTAGAGTTAATGTGATAGTAGGGCAAGTTACGTATATGAATTGTGAGAAATTATATCTACTTGTGTTCTATGAGTGAATTAAATGTCCTCCCTTAATTTAAGGGTTGAGATATTTATAGGAATTGTTTGAACCTAAATTTCAAGACCTTATAAAATGGTTACAGTATTTTCTCTCTCAAAAGCATGGAGTAGAGCTATCATTCCTCCTATGCCCCTTAAGGGGTTGATATCCTCTCCATTTCTTTGTCCCTCCATTTTTTTCATTACTATAGTTTTTTGTAAATAACACACATTTCTAAGACATGTGACATATAATTAATATTTAATTGATTTTATATACAAAAAAACTATAGTAATAGAGAAAATAGAGGGACAAAAAAATGGAGAGGATATCAACCCTCCTCAAGGACGCGACTTTCTCTATTGGCTACTTTCATACCATTATGAGAGACATGTCATTTATCGCATCTTGATAAGTGGTCGAGAGTATCAAACAATGAGCGCACACTCTAATAAATGGGTGACTTCCTCTATTGGCTACTTTCATACCATTATGAGAGACATGTCATTTATCGCATCTTGATAAGTGGTCGAGAGTATCGAACAATGAGCGCACACTCTAATAAATGGGTGACTTCCTCTATTGGCTACTTTCATACCATTATGAGAGACATATCATTTATCGCATCTTAATAAGTGGTCGAGAGTATCGAACAATGAGCGCACACTCTAATAAATGGGCGCACAAATTAAGAAACAAGTGACTATTAGTCATACTATGTTCTATGGCAATAGAGATGATCCTTATCCTCTCACCTTAGTGCATCTTGCATTGTCTCCTATGAATGTTTCACAAACATAGCAGTACATAATCAATTTTGCTAACAAATATCCACTCATTTTTATAAAAAAAAGTATATTAGTAATATGCACTTTAAGGTATACTTAATAAATTTTAATTGTTATTTGCTAACACGGCATTTTTAAAAAGTAAATGAGTCTATTTTAATAAATATTTATTGAAGATGCTAACATACACTCACTTCTTTTTTTTAAAAAGTGTTTTTAATACATAAGTCTTAGAGTGTATTTAACTATTTATTTTTAATTATAGTTTGCTAACATACGCGTATATAATATATTTATTTATTTTTAATTTATTTTTTTATAAAATTCAAATCAATGTTATTTAATTTATTTTGTGATCTATAGTACTTTTAAAATAAAACTCATATATAATATGATTATTTATTATTAATTTATTTTTCTATAAAATTCAAATCAATGTTATTTAATTTATTTTATGATCTATAGTACTTTTTAAAACAAAATAAAATATCAAAATGAAAATTAAAGTGCTAAAGTATTTGGTATTGTAATCTAACGGAACAACATAGCACCAATAGAAATGGGATCTAAAATAAAATTTAAATATAATTAAGAGTTTAAATGAATAATGCCAAATAAAAGATATAATAATTTTCACGAGTCATCAAAAATATAAACTTTACCAATACAAACATATTTTATAAAATTTGCTTTTTATTATAAATAATCAATTGGGAGTTTTATATTAGAGTGGCTTTTTTCATACGATTAAAAAAGAATAAAAATAATGTAGTAAAAAAAAACTCACAAACATGCTAAAACAAAATTAAGAAAACACAGAACATTATTACGGTGATGCCATTATTAATAAAAATCACAAACTCACAAAAGGTTTGACATATTTACACCATTAATGAAAAATTACTGTTTTCCGTGTTTTTAAAACACATAATAGAAAAGAAAAACATCTAAAAGATGTTTTCACTTTTTAGTTTTTAAACTCTAGAACACAAAAGTCTTATCAAATGGGTTTTTAATTTTGTAATTTTTGAGAACTAAAATACAGTTTTTAGAAATCAATTCAAACAGGCCCAATGTTTAGTTTTGATTCTTTTTTTTTTAAATAATAATTTCGGATAACCAACAAAGGTTACATCCAGTTTTATATGAATTGCACTTATGCCATAACTCAGTGAAATTGATGGCATCATGCTTAATAAAAAGTACAAGAAACAGACATACCACAAGCACTGCAAAAAGTTACAGGAAGTAAAGAACCAATTGCCAAATTATCTGCAGCATGTCCAAATAGTAAATCAAACATAAGAATGGAAGTTGTTAATGCTAAAACCAAAACTAAGCCTCAATTACATGTGCTTAATTCCGTAGTTAGCCAACAAAAACATTTAAAGAACATTACAATAATGAGTGGAATAACAGATAGATGCAAAGACCCTGGAAACTCATTCTACTAAACTATACTTTCTCCTCTTCCTGCTGACTACTTATTGATTTTGATACCCCGGGTCTAAACACCGCTATATCAAAATGTCTTTCAAAACTCTACTTGTCCAAAAATGTGACTAAATCAATGGGTTTTCAACTAATTACTATCATTTAAGTAGGATTCCCAACCAAGTTTTTCTAACTTCTCTCCTTTCGCCAATACGCTTTCCTTTTGGTCCTCTTGATACTGGATCATCCTGCATAGCAATATAAATGTTAACTCAACATATGCGGGAAGTGTAAAATATATTTTCCATTTTTTCTTTTCTGTGAATTTTTTATTTCAATATACAAATTTTAGATCACAGATTCACATAAAGGAAGAGAGACCGAGAGAGGCTGACCTTGACATAAGATTTTCATCGGCAACACTCAATATCCTCACTGCCAACAGCCCAGCATTTGTTGCATTATTAACAGCAACGGTGGCAACAGGGACACCTCTTGGCATCTACACACCCAACAATCATATTTGTTTGTAAGAAACAATTACATATAATGTATAAGTAATTGCAAAAACTTACCATTCCTACGGTGGACATGAATTATGATTAGTCTGGTAGAATATTTTATCAGTCTATTTATATGGCAATGATATCATTTCTTTGGTTCATTCATGTCGTGCAATCACTTGCTCAAAGCATAAACATAAACAAAACAAAGCAAGGCAACACAAGGATAGTGTCGAATGGATGGGAGGATATTGTTACAAGAAATGTGAATATCTATGGGATGCACCAGGGGGAAAATTGAGTAAGAAAAGGGGTGCAAGGGAAAACATGAAGATAAGTCTTGACGATTGGTTTTAAGCATCTAGCAAGTATACTGATTGAAAATCTGCCTTTAAAATGTGGGTCAACTGATTGTCAAAACAACTTCTCAACTGCTTCAGGATTTAGGTGTTGCCAAACTCATCAATAACCAATTCCTTAGAACTGTTTATGCTTCTCACAACATTGTTTTTAAAAATAGAACTTTGTACCTTTTAAAAGAAAACATCTACTGATCATTTTTTAGTCTTGAGATTGAATAAAGGTATCTTTCATTGACATACAATAACCGACAATATTAACCTTCATAAAATTACCAGACTCCTTAGTGGTGATAGAGGCTTCAAAATTAGTACACATTTTTTTAGAAATTCTACTAGTCTTTTTGTAGACTAACAAAAAACCAACATAAAATCGTTCACTCGCGAGGATTCCCGGTTCAAAAAAAAAACATTGATCTTAATCTTTTAAAAAAAAGCAATAATGTCAGATTAGATTTATAAACATAAGACTAAATCTTATCTTATTTCATTAGAAAAGCAATTATGTGGAGCGCAGAAAGTAAGAATTAAATATTAGATTAGATCACTGAAATCTGTACCTGGACAATTGACAAGAGTGAATCAACTCCGTCGAGGGTAGAACCACGTACAGGAACACCAACTACAGGCAAGGGAGTCATAGCAGCCACCATTCCTGAGATTTGGAAACTTAATCAATAATTAATGCCATTAAGACAGTTGATCTTTGCATTAATTATACAAACACACTTGAAGCAATTTACCAGGCAAGTGAGCTGCACCACCAGCACCAGCAATGATAACTTGAATGCCTTGTTTATGAGCAGACGAGGCATAATGAAACATCAAATCCGGAGTTCGATGTGCTGAAATTATTCTTACCTAAAATTTGATACATGAACATCTAGGTAAGAATAAACAACTTGACACAGGATGGTCCCTTCCCTAGAGGAAATTTAAATAATCTTACCTCATGAGGCACCCCAAACATTTCCAAGATTTTAGCAGCATCTTTCATAACAGGCAGATCTGAATCAGAGCCCATTATAATCCCCACACGTGGAGCTACTACAATTTTATTTTAATAAACAAAAAAATTGGTGTGTGGGAATAACAAATTTTTAACTTTAAAAATTCAAATATATTAACATAAGAGTTTGTGTCAATAACCTGCAGTCTTGTCATCTAATTTTTCCCCTTCTATTATTGTTGCAAGATTGCCTTCAAGATTGCTTAGGGAAGGCCCAACAACGGTTATGTGGCCCATCTTTCGTTGTTTTCTCATTTCTGACACATTATCATTACAAAATATTATATATTTGGCCATAGCAACAAATCAGAGGGACTAAGCAACCTAAAATTGCCACTTAACCACAAATTTACCTGGCTTATCGTACCAATGAATAGAAGCACCAGGGATGGTCAATGCCCTCGTCATCAATTGATGAGCCAATTGAAAACCAAGCTCCCCCTAAAATCATTAAGATTTGATGGACAAGATTCTTAAACAGTGATAAATGAATAGAATGATCTTCAAACAAGTAATGAATGAATGAACTAAAGAAAGCACTCCATAGCTTCTAAAAGTACAAGTGTACAACTGTCATTCAACTCCGGACCAAAAGAAAAAACGGGGGAAATCGACATTTTTTGTTTGGGTTCTAGCACAAAGATTTGACACCTAATTTAGTGTTCTTACATTCTAACAAGCATTTAATTAGAAATTGTGTTATTTTTTTAGCATAAATATAACAGAAATAACTAAATTACTATTAATTTTAAAATAGTCATTAGGAATTGCACCATTCCCTTCAAACAATGTGCCTAGTGATGATGATGAAACATTGTCAATCCAAGTGAATATGACATTAGTGTCCCACAAGAATAGGCGAAAAACGAAACTTTCACTAACCTTACAATGGAGAGGGTTAAAGGAAATGAAATTGGATAAAACTTATATGCTAATAATACCTCTTCTTCACCTAATATATTGTACATGATCGCAGCTGGAGTTTTCATTGATGGATTGCCAAGAGGAAGACCAGCGACAGCCCGCAAATGTTGCTCATATTGTGAGGTGTAGCAAGATTCAATTGTGTGGTGTCCACTGTTGTGAGGTCTAGGTGCAACTTCATTTAATAAAATCTGCCGAGAAACACAACCGTCATCATTATTGGATTAACAGACAACATAACACGTTTGGAGGAGCATAAAAATTTACTAGTATAAAGAAGCAAAATATTATAATAGACTTTTAGGAATAAATAAAGTTTCACTCATGTAGGTCTTAGGAGTCATCCTATGTTAGATCATGCTGAGACTCTGACTCACTAAGACGTAGTCTCGTCATTTCATATTTTGTGGTTTCTTAATAACCAGACATGTAATGACTAAAGATCAAGAGAATATACAAATGAAGAGACACCTTGAAGCTTTATGTTACCTCTGCAAAAGATATCCTTATGTAGGATAGTTAAAGCTTTTCCTATATAATTTGTACGTTTATTAAGTATTACTGATTATCCATGTACTGAGACATAACATTGTATACTATATTCTAAATAATTAATATGTGGGGTTATACCTATGTATGCTCACTCATTTTAGGCACATCTCCCCTTTTAATTATAAAATAATCTACAAAAATTTAAAATAATACAAATATAAATCCATTAATCCTATTTAAATTCTACCAATCTTCAACATATTTTAACACAGTGCCCTTTTTAATTATAAAAGGATAAATAAATTCCCCCATGCCTCTCCAATTTTATATTTTTTGATTTTTAAACTCAATCTAAATTGTAGTTGTGATTCAAGTTTAGTGAGGGAACAACAAAAGTCACTGAATGAGTCGAACTTTTCCACATTTTTTTCTATATATGTTAATTGTTAAATAAAAAAGCTTAGAATGGGAGATGTAGCAGATGCTTGGAAAACCACAGAATGAGACCCGAGACTGGATCTACATGCAGTGGAACTACTCTTAAGACTCATCTTTTTAGCGCTGGTAGGAGATAGATATATTTAGAGGAAAGAAGGAAGTTTCTCTCCTTATATTCTATATATATAGCCCATACATAGAAATGGAAAAGGACATTCTAGTATTCAATCTTAGTTCTATGTGACTAGGAACAAGGCTTTGAACATGGATATATTTTGGTAGAGAAGTCCCGGATCAAGTGGAACATTGAAGATGATAGGAACACAACCTATTTTCAGAGAGTTTCCAATATTAAGAATGCCTCCAAATTCATCACTTCCATCAGACATGAGAAACTTTGCTCACCAATTCTCCTGAGATTACCAACATCCTAGTGAACCATTTCACTATACTAGTTAGCTCTTGCAAATTTACCAGTATAAAGAAGCAAATTTACTAGCATAACAGACAACATAACATCATTATAGAATTTTAGAAGAACAAAATATTGAGGCACGTACAGAGTTAATGAACAGATAAATTCACAACCTGTCCGTCGTCAGTCAAGAACAATTCAACAGCAAACACACCAGCACCTTCTAAAGAGTTGACAGCATTGAAAGCAACTTTGGTGGCACGCTCCCTAATCTTCCATTTTACATCTGCTGGAGCCTTAACTATGTGACATATGTTGTCCCTAGAACAAAAATAAATCCTTAAACAGATGTGCAAGGAAGCTGAAATTGTACATTTTTTATTAGTCTTATCATGTTCTATGTTTTGAATTTGGATCGCCTTTTTTTTTATAATATTCCACATTAATAACATGTACCTGTTCTGCGTATTACCTGTGAATAGTTTCAACAACAGGATAGCATGAAATTGTATTGTCTCTCCCTCTCGTGACAATGACAGCTAGTTCCTGCCATTAATTTAGGACAACGAAACACAGAAAAATGCATCAAATCATTCAAGAATGTTTAATTATAAGAGCATTCAGCATGTGGTGCAAGCCCGGTATAGAATTTGAATAAGTTACATCCCAAAACAATTCCCATTTATTGAAAGAAAACCCAATATAGGAGGTCAACATTAGTGCTTGCACGATAAAAAGAAGGCATGGTTATCTAATTGAGAACCAATACCATAGCAGTTGAGAAACAATCACTTTACAAAACACAAAAAATTGGTCACGGCATAAAAAAAATTCAGATGTGTTGGCTCAATGCCAGAAATATTGCTTTACATCATACAATTTGTGAATCATGAATTGGAAAATCACCATCCGCAGTCAATGACAAGATTTAGATACAAACCTTGACAAAAGGTGCCCATTTTTCAGCATATAAACCACGATCAAATCCTCCAAGTGCTGCATAGTTTTGGGGGAATTTAAAGAATTAAAACAAAATAAATTTGCATCTATCAAATAGGCAACGAGCTTTTTCTTCTAATACTTGAAAGACAACTTGTATTAACTCAGATAATTTTTTGCTGTTCTTCCTTTCTCAAAGAAAGAATAAACATACTGCTGAACACTAATTACCATCCACAGCATAAGCTAGTTCCTCTTCACTTTTTGCAACTGCATTTCCTCGTCCATCATAAGCTAGTCTCCTACTCTTGATCATAAGAGGATAGCCAAAAAGTTCCCCTATTTTCTTAGCGCCTTCAAGATCATCTAACTGTTCCATGCATTTTTCATGCATTAATTTGAATCCTAAAGATGAATTTTCAAATACTATTAGAACTGAGAAAAACAGTACAAACCTGCATAAATTCAGGAAGTGGAATGCCATGCTTAGAGAAGTGAACCTTTTGCAGATACTTATCCTGTATCATGAAAGAAATAATTAAGAGTTTGACGTCATCATTATTCTTACCTTAAAAAACTATTGAAACTAACATGCCTATGCCTATGGGGGGCACAAAATGATTTCACTATAAATGCTAAAAACAAAAATATCAAGTTGTTCATTTTCTCATCTAAATCCACAAACCAAAACTGGAAAAACTCCACCAATATAATACCTGAATAATTCGTATAGTAGAGGCTTTAGGTTGACATACAACTCCTTGTTTCTCAAGTTTTTCCAATGTAGTAACATTGACATGTTCAATTTCAAAAGTTAAAACTCCACACCTGAACACCATTTCAATCGTAATTCGAGTCAAATGACATATATCTCAAAGTAGCATATATTACAAAAACACACCAAAAAAAAAAAACATGGACCTCTTTGCAAACTCCTCTACTGTTGCACTGTCATCAAAGCTTCCAACCATGTGTTGATAGGAGAATGAGCTAGCCGGACAATTCTCCTGAGGATCTAAAACGACGACCTTAATTGCCATCTGAGAAGCAGCTTGACATAGCATTCGACCAAGTTGACCTCCTCCCAAAACCCCAACAATCGTTTCAGATAATCCATGAACAACTGATTCATCATTCCTACACACACATTATAAAGATTGTAAACATTAGATTAATTTGTGACAAATATAAAACAATACCATAAATAAAAATTCAAAATTGAACCTTGGAGAAACTGCATTAGCTTCGTGTTTGTGTGATGATGATTGAAAGGTGAGGCGGGATTGGTTAGAGATCTTTAAGTTGAAAGATAAAAGAGGAGATTGCTCCATGTAGAAAGCGATTGAAGAAGAAGAAGAAGGTTTGAAGGGAAAGAATGAAATGGAAGTGTGCCCTAAAGACACAGTGCGGACGGTGTGAAGCATAGGAAAAATGTCGTGGACGGAAGAAGAAGGTGCGAGCGAGCGAGCGAGGAAGAAGATGGAAGATGAAGCAAAGTGCAATGAGTTCAAATGGGGTTTAGGGTTTTGGTGAAGGAAAAGAACTGAAATCGCGGTTCAGTGCACTGAGCGCGCAAAGAAACAGAAACAAGGGTTTAAGCGTTGAGTTGAAGCTAACTGAGTTGTGGTAGTTTTCGGTTTTGCCGTGCGTTATCACCGTGGAAGCAAGACTTTCATAAGCACTCCATATAAATTTATTTATATCTTGTGCTAGTTTTTTTTTTAATAAATTAAATACATATTAGAAAAAATAAATATAATTACAAACTTTTTCCTCTATTCCTTTATTCATTTCTTTGAGGAAAAATATATTCTTATTTATTAATCAGTTTGAAAGAAATTTTGAAAATTGTTCCTAATATTAAGTCAAACCACATTGGATATTAGGTCAATACCTTAATTTAATCGCATGGCATCCTTATATTATGAATTAACTAGATGTGACATCTTGATCAAAAATAAAAAATTGTAACCGAGTGAAATAGTGTATATAAAAGAAGAAGCTTTATTTCCGCCATTCTCTATATTTTTTTAATTCGGTCACCAATCTTCCCATTTATTTTAGTCTCTTCTATTTAATTTTTCTACACTTAATTTCTCTAATGTTCATGGAATTATTTTTTTTAATTGTTATGCAAAAAATCAAATAAAAAGTATAAATATGTAAAATTATACTCTTTTCAATTACATTCCTATTAATTAAATATTTGTGCGTCCGTACGAATTTAAATAATTTTATACAACACAATTGTACACATGTATGAGTTAGATTATATTATATGTATATTTAGAATCATTAATGTAAAGATTGTTTATATGTTAACCTAATGTAATTAACGGTCACTTCAATCAAATTTTCAATGTTACATAAAGTGGAAATAAGTGCAAATAAATGATATTTCAACACCTATTAAGTAAAAATAATTTGTCTTGATAGATAATGAATCAGTTCCTCGATCGTATATCGATGAAAAATTGAAATATATAATAGTAAATATTTTAGACCTTTCAATGATGTGTGTGTGCGCGCGTGCGTGTGTTGTGTTGTGTGTGTGTGTTTTGTTATTTTAAATATTTCAATTTCGTTTTTAGTCTCTCAAAAAAAATTTTTTAAGGAATATTCTCCTAAAGTTTTTCGTCCACGCTTTGTGATCCTCATGTCAACGTTCGTTAACAGAAGGTGATGTGGCACGACACGTGACAGTGCCACCTGTCAAAGATGCTGATGTGGCATGCCACGTGGCTAAAGTCAAAAACAAACTTGAGCTCATAAAAAATTGTAGTTAAGTCATAACTAACCTCTAGCAAATTCATTGCAGAAATTTTTCACATAAAAGGAAATTCAAATTTTTAGGTGCATGCTTCCTTTTTGTTCTGTATATATACATGTCTCTGTGATAAGTCCATCAAATTAATGGTTCAAAAGCATGGCTTCCAACTCCCTCTTCCTTGCGGCATGTTTTAGTTTCTCCAATGCAACAAGTCCAACTTGCCTTATTCTTTCTCTCAACAAACCCATCTTGTATATATAATATAACACACGAGTCATTAAAATTAAAGAAACTCTAAAATGATCTCTTAAGTAAAAGAAGCAATAGAATGTCAAAGATGAACTCATTGTTTACTTATGTCTTCCCACGTAAGACATTCTTTATCCAGTCCATAATAAAGACGAACAATCTCTCTCTCTCTCTCTCTCTCTCTCTCTCTCTCTCTCTCTCTCTCTCTCTCTCTCTCTCTCTCTCTCTCTCTCTCTCTCTCTCTCTCTCTCTCTCTCTCTCATTCCACAAGGGTCACATTAATGAGTATGTTCACTTCCTCCTGTAAATATTTACAAGTGGTATTATTATTTATGGGAGTTTAGAACATGAAATACTGCAATTTAAATTTCATGAAACATAAAATAGATAAGTTATTATATTAACATTATCATTATCATTTCAGAGGAAGAAACCATGCTAACAAGATATATGAAGTTGAAATAAAAAATGACTAAATTATCTAGACAAGGCCGGCTATTTCAGCTCCCGTATTATCATATCTTTGAGCAATTGACATAACTAAGCGAACATTACTTGTAGTTTGGCTCGGGAAATCTTCAACGAAGTTGCAACTTGATCATCAGAAGGTTCACATCCTAATCTTTCCTTCAGTCTGAAACTCAAGTAATAATATTTAAAAATGGTGAACATAGCTTTTGTGTTACAGTATTTGCATTGTTAGCATTTTTGTTTAGCTAGTCATTCAAAGTGGTAATGTGTTAAGGTTGAAGTGTGTAATAGTAAGTTGTCATTTTCTACATTTTAGGGATGTACGTGAATAACGTAGGTTCTTTATTATTTTTTATTTTCTTTTATGTCCAGGCATAGGTAAAAACCTTAACACCAAATAAGCATGCAAAGCCAAGAATGCAAACAGGAGCAGCTAGAGAGTGATACATTAGAAGGTAACGAAGTTGTATTGCGGAGAGAAAAGATGAAGAAAAAGATGACGATGGTGATGGTGACAGGAAAGGAGAGGAACAAGGACATCATAGTTTGTTGTTCCTTAATTTGTGTTTTCATACAATAAATTAGCTACAAATTAGCTACGAATTTAACTATCGATTAACTATAAAATTTTATGGGTTCAAATATGATGTTGACCTTAACCATGTGACATGACACGCCAGCATCTTACCATGTAGGTAAAGCCACGTGGCGTGCCACGTCAACTCTGATAGTCTCATCTAACGTTAGGGATCAATTGTATGGACGAAAAACTTTTGAGGGACCATTCTTTAAAATAAATTGTTAGAGGGACTAAAATTGAAAACTGTAATATTTATGAGGATCAACAATAGCCATTGAATTGAATATAATCTAATGATTATTTAGTAAAAAGGTTAATTTAACCATTAGATTAGATTCAATCCAAATGCTATAATTTAGAGTAAATTGATCCCCACTCATATATATATACACACGCCTTCTTGTTTTGATTTATTTGGTTGTGTCTCGTGTCTTTTACCAAATCGATCATGAAAATAGATATAAGTTAGCCAATTTGTTTACACATTGAAGCATGAGAGAAAAAAGCAACAAAATAAAGACGAGGAAAAAAAAACACAAAGAAGCATTATTAAAAAACACATTGAAACATGAGTGAACAAATCAACCATCCAAAACATGCAAGAAAAAGGCATTGAAGCATTGAAAATAACTTGAAGCATGAGAAAAAGAAAAAAAACAACAAAAGAAATATGAGAAAAACACAAAAGCATTACCGCAAAAATATATTGAAGAATGAGGGAAACATGTGAAAAAATCCCACGTTGGTTAACAACATTCAAACTAGATTATAGTCAAAAACTTGCAAAATGTATTAATAAAACATATTTTAATTATAAGAAAATAAAAGTTATGTCTCGTGTCATGGAAACCAACGAAAAGATGAACAAAATGGTCATAATAAGTATGGAAAGTAAAATAAAAATAGGATTGATGAAGAGTAAGAGAAATCACAATTACCCCTTTAAAATAGAACTTTCGTCCAGCTACTTCAAGTTCACTTAACCCTGTAAAATCATAAATACATAAATAAAAAAAATAGGGACCAAATTATAAAGCACTTGAGAGAATAATAAACTCAATCAATTAACCATGAAGTGGATGAGTAACTTGGAGGATATAAACCTTAAACGATCAAACATTAATATATAATATCATCATAGTTTTCTTATTCACAGACTAACATCACCTTACTTTATCTAGATTTATTTTAGTTGCCATAGTAATGTCAACTTAAGTGGACCGTATTGTAATATGTGTTGGGCATCATGAGGAGCATCCACATTGGGTCAAGAGCAACACACAAGTGAGAGAGACACCATATATTCACCCAGAACCTTAAGGTGATAGGTGTATGGGTCATCTCACAAACTCCACCTTTCTAAGCAATGTGAGACTTCTAACTCACACTTGTACACAATAATATCCCCCTCAAGTGTGAGTTCATCAACTATACTCCTCCTAAAGCGGAAGCTCTTTTATCCACATACACTGGTACTGTTGTTACGGGCACTATAACGGAACACACTGCCTGACCACCATACTATCAGAAAGACTTTTGATACAAGGAGTCGGTCCATTAATTGAATCATTGGCTCTGATACCATTGTTTGGTTATTATGAGAAGCATCCACGTTTGGTTAAGAGCAAGTGAGAGAGACGCTATATATTCACCCAAAAGTTTAAGATGATAGGTGTATGTGTCTTCTTACTTATAAACTGCTGATCCACATTTCTAGGCAATGTGGGACTTTCAACTGACACTTGTACACAACATTGTGAACCAAAAACATAAAAACAATGTAATAAATTAGTCAGATTCCTGAATTTAATTGTCAGTTACTCTACCATAATTATTACATGGAAAGGGCAATATCACACAGTTGATACAAAATTAATAATCTAAGTAAAAAGGAACAAAAATGCAGGGTTCTAATTGATAAAGTGTAGAGCCAGAACATGTTGGAGAGCAAAAACTGAATCAGTATAAGAGAAAAACCAAATTAGAAGGCGATAAGTAATTTCCAACTCTAGAAAATGCATATTGAGAAATAATTTAATTATCGGTGGGTTGATTTGAAACAAATTCATACTCCGCCAAATATCTCGTTTGTTGTTCTGTCATTGAGTCAACATCTCTCAAAACTTCATCAAGTTCATTACATATTCACGATTACAATATTACAGCATCTTAAAAACTCTCTCACCAATGGCCTTTACATCCTGCACCTTCTGACTATTTTTTTGTTGTTGCATACTTTAATTGGGCTACTCTCCCTACTTCTACAAAAACTATGAATGGCTATTATGTTTATCTTGTATCATCTTTAATCTCCTATAAATCATTAAAGCAATCTAAAGTCTCAAGATAAAGTT